ATTCATATTATTTAAATTATATGAAAATAATAAAAAAGAGATGTAATAAAAAAATTCTCTTTATGCGCCCCAACTTTCGGCTTACCCAGTATGTTTATTCTTTCTTTATCTCGAGTTCGCCAAGGACATGGTATCGACAAAGTTTGCAGGCATTTTTATATCGCTCCGTGCATTACAGCAACTCGTTGACTTAATGTACGTCACGTTGAATTGAATTTTTGTAACGAAAGAGATCGCCTCTCGTCACGCCCACGCGAGAGCGATTTTTCAGCTCGCGCGTTAAAAGAGTGTTTTCTTTTATCCGGCGACGAAAATGAAAGTGAAGATAGAGGGAGAGAGGAGGATCGAATTGCACGAAATCGAATTGGATAGTTTTTACTGACACATCATACCATAAATTTATTAACACGAGTCTATTTTCTTAAATTACGCAATATGCAAAAATTGATATTTATTATTTTATATATTCTATACATTTACAACATATATTAAACTGGTTTAACATATAATAATTAATATTTAATTATTTAATAATAAATAAACAAATGAAAAATGGTTAAAAAATCAACGATGACGAATCTGAGGCGAATTGGAAGTTGTTGTTCTCGAACGTGTTTTCTATAAATACTTACAATTAGAATTTCAATGAATTATATAAGAATATAAATTACAAATTAGTATTGACCGTTAAAGGTCATCTATCTATCTAAATGAGATTCATCGCGAATTCATGAATGACACTGTCCACGCGCGCGTATAGGGCGAGGCACGTGTTTTACGCATGCCAAACTTTTTCGCGTGGCACTTATGGTTGTTTTATTACATATGACATGCGTTATGTATTTCTGCAATTTACGAACGACTGTTCGATAACGTAGTTTTCGATGATCAGTGATAATTATAATAATTAATTAGAAGAGATACGCGCGAATAAAATTTATATTCTATAATTTTGGAATGCAAAAACGCATTTTTACTGTAAACGAGAAACTTGTCCAGACGACGTCGAAAAAAAATATCGTGAAGAAGTGTTGGAAATATATTCTAGATTTGCAAATAAATCTTAGATAGCTTTGGGCACGAAAATTTTTAAGATCTAATAAAAAAAGAGTGAATAAATTTTACATAAAGGCTTAAAATTTTGCAATAATTTCCTCTTTTGGCATATTAAAAAAAAAAAGATTACAGAATTATATTATAATTTAATTATAATTGTTCTATAACCGTGTGTGTTTCTAATTATATATAAGAGTTTATAATTCAATAAAAACAAATCTTTTATAAAATCTATCCAATTATATTGAATTCCATTATTTAATACCGATAATCTTTTACTACTTAATGATAGGATTTTTATAAAATTTCTTAGATATCGTAACTCATATTGGAATGATAAGCTCCGGCGCGTGTCAAGGATAGGCGTCGCGATTATATACATAGGTACGCGATAGACCGGGTTTCACGTCCTGACAGATCGAGAACGATAGAATCTCAGTTGTACCCCGTATGCGAGCGATCCTCGACTTCTTCCTTCCTCAAGAAGCTTTCGCCGCACGTTCGGTGGGAGACTCCGAAGAGGTGACAGGAGGGCGGCAGGGAGATCCGCGCGCGCGCCGTTGTTTGGGAAGAGGGAGGACCCCGTGGTTGGCGAACGCAAGCGATATATGAAGGCGAAACTCGCGCGCACGTCGCCCAGAATCTCTCTCACGTGGTGTGCACTCGCGATAGCGCAGGAAGTGCCGGTCCTCCGCTCTCTTCGTATTTTCCCACACGCGTAAACATACTTCGATTATTCAAATTTCCTAATTGAAAGTTAGTGACAAGTACGCCCGAAAACGTCGAGGTGATCTTTGCTTGGAAGTTGTCGAGTGCGATCGAAATCGGCTCGTCTTCGCCGACGTGGGTAACTTCCTCGAGGAGATTTAAGGGAAATCCGAAGGGGTGGTAGAGTGAACTGGTCGCTGGGGTGTTGGAGCAATCATGAGCAAACAGTGGAAAGGTATGTGACACAGGATTATTGATTGTTGACGAGAATGTTGAGGAAAGCTTGCAAGAACAACATATTGATGGCAAGATATTCTTGTTAAATATTCTTTGCTTTTTATGTGTCGAGAAGTTATATCGAGAGTTGTGAATGAGAAGAGATGGATGTTCACTGGGCAAAAAATTGATCAACTTTATCTTTAGATCTCTATTTGAATTTTTTATAATTATTATATCATAAATTATCTTATTTTTCTAAGATATTTATCTTATTTTTCTATTACATTGTAAATTATCTTGTCTTTTTTCAAATGCGTTATTTTTTATTTCGTATAAAATTCATATGCATTCCCCTTAGGATCTAATCAAGGAGAGATAAGATTTCGATAAGAGGCGCCAGATAGTAAAAATTTTTTTGTCTCACAGGTCAGTGATTCGAAGATTTTAGCAAAATATATTTCTATCTTACAAAAACAAAATATACATAAACATAAAATACTTGTTACACTTGCAAATAAGTAATATTTGCATTTATCTCAAGAATGTACCAACGATAAATGTCGCGGATGAAATCAAAATTTTTTTAAGTATTTTAAAGATGCGGAAACATTTATTAACGTAAAATTTTTATCCCGATCACATGTATAGAAAAAAAGAGGAAGTAGTCGATCAATGAAAATGATAAGTGGAAGAATTCAAGGTAGTATTTATCGTGACGATGCATACAAACGAAGATATGCGTCGTTTGTTAACTGGATAGCAAATTACATAGGCAAACTGTGTAGTAAATTACATAGGCAAACTGTATGCTCTAGCATTGCGATCTAAGAAAAAACCGTATACAAGGTGTCGTGAGAAAAAAGGTATCTACTTTTATTTGTTTAAATCTTATAAAATAAATCGTATAAAATCAAGGTTTTTTTTCTAAACATTTTAGTTATATTACATGTTAAAATTAATACAGCAAAATAAATTGTTATCGATAAAATAAATAATATCCTAAAATCAAATATTTAAAAATATTTAAAAATATTTAAAAATTAGAGAAATATTAATAGTTAGAAATTATAACAATTAGAATTTATAAAATGTATTATTACTTATAGATAATTATTGTTTCGCAATAGTTGTCGGTGTACTTAAAAGCGCTTCGGCGTTTAAAGATGTTCGAGAAATTCCTTACGATAATGCGGACACTCGTAACTTTCATCTTTAATTTGTATCAAACATTTATATGTTATCATGTGGATGCCTTTTAATCACGCCTTTTAATCACAACTGTGTAATCCACTCCACTGCACTTCAATAGGCGATCAGAGACACATGTTTCTTATACATATCGTTTGATATTGTGATAAAAAAATTGTTAGTTTTGTAATTATCTATCTTGTCACACTTTTTCATTTCAACTCTCTAATTCAATTTACACGATAATATAAACTGAACTGTAAATCAATTAATAAACTTCAAATGAAAAAAATATAATTACAAGAATCTTTATTGAATTAAAAAATTATATTAGATAAATAAATAAAATTTAAATTAAAAATTTTTACAAGAGAGTTACAAAAATTACTGGTTTTTTTCTCTTCCGTTATTTTAAATACAAGAAATACAAGAATCATTGTGAAACTGAATCCATAGGAATACTTTTTAATCAAGGAGATTAAATTACTGTTGTGAAAATTAAAGTTATAGAAATTGGAAACATTTTTTCAAATGCTTAAGTTGTTGGAAAAATAGAACGGATTACAGTTAGATTTAATTCTTCGATTTTCTTTCGCAGGTATCAAGGAGTTTGTCGGCTTTGAGGAGATCACCAAACTCGACTTCCTGGTGATGCTGTTCGCCGAGATTCTGGGCACGTTCCTGTTGGTCTTCATAGGCTGTGCCTCCTGCATCACGTGGACGGATACGCCGACTGTCGTGCACATTGCGTTCACCTTCGGCCTCGCCGTGGCAAGTTTGGCGCAGGTAAGTGTTGTTATCGTTCTCTCTCTCTCTCTAATCGTAACAATAAAAAAATTTATTTAAAAAAATAAAATTGAAGGCATATAATATTTTTAATTTAATATTTTTAAATTTATTTAAAATTTCTATGTTGAAAAGAAGTTTAAACTTAGAAATTTTATGAATATAGAACTTGTTCATCAATGATTTAATTAATTAGTTTTTGAAATTAAAATGAAATAGTAAATTTAAATGAAATAAATCAGATTTGAATTATTATTGAATTTTAATTTTAAACACAATAGATAACACAAACAAAGCTATAAATTATTTATAATAGACAGTTTTGAGAGTATACTTTGCGATAAAAGAGAAGCGGTGATAGAGTAAAAATATTTTCGCGTAAATTTAGAGAGAGATAGAGGAAATCTGTCTTATCTAAATTATGACGAGTTCTTTCCTCCTTCTATTATTCTGTTCTTGGGTGTTTTGCTTGTTTGAGTTTAACTGCCGAAATAAATGTGCAAGTTTATATCAAAAAATTGTGATATGAATATATAACGGCACGAACTAAGATTTGCTCGCCGAGAATATTTTATTATGTCTGTGTAAATTCTTATCTTTGATCGTAAAAAGCATGTTCATATATGTATGTGAACATTCTTCCATTTTGCCTTCTCGAATATTTTCTATTTTTGATGTTTTATTTTTAATCTATTAATAAAGATATGTAATTTAATATTTAATTTGTATTGATTATTTAATTTATTTACAATAGTAATTTATTCGCATGTGTATACTTTTAACGGTATTTTTATAACACACATGACAATTAATAGCAGAAAATTTAATTTTCTACTAATATACAACTTACACACACACACACACACACACACACTTTTTTTTTATTTTAAAAAAGAAATTATTACTTAAAAAATAATTATCGATGATACGTAATAGCCATCAAATCTCTTGAGCAACGCAAAATAAAACAATTTGTTTATTAATTCAGACGTTTAATTAATCCACAATGCAAAAATTTGAATTGCAAAGATTTTCATTTAGTGAGGATTAATATCAGATAAAGCGACAGTTTCGCAAAAATGTTCACGAACCAAAAGACTTTGCAGCATACAGCGGGAGGTTCTACAAAAAAGGAATAGCATTATTCTCTCGACGATATTTTAATGATATTTGCATTTAACGAAGACACGCGTACGAGAAAGAAGTGCGTATCATCGTCTCGCTTGTTACGTCACGATTAATAATTAATTAACATATCTTGTGTTGACCGTTTTTTGTATAATATCTCTCACGCGTAAAACCTGCTCTTCGCGTCTGTTAAATGAGCCACATCGATCACGATTATGTTTCGGATACTCGCTGAATGGAGACACACGCTTCTTAAAAGATCGTGTGTCTGTAAATATATGTATGAATTCTGTAGAAGTTGTTAAACGTGCGCGACTCTCTTGTACTTTGTATTCCAATGGCAGTGAATAACAAATGCAGCAACTTACTTTTTGTCGTCATTGTAATTGCGACTGTAAAACTGTGTGATCGACAACTGCATAATTAATAATTCTTTCCACGATACTTAAGATTGCAATTTTATAATTGCGCATATGTGCGTGTGATTAAATTTTATTTTTATTATTAAAAATATACACAGAACAGTCACAATTATTTGTCATATTTTTTTTCGGACGCCCTGTATTTTGAACAGACAGGACACAGAGCACTCTAGAGAGAGTGGGAGATCTCCATTCACTTCGCTGAAGTTTTGCGACTCAGTCACCTAATCGTACTCTCACTCTCGTTTCGTGAATCGATCTTTTTCCTTATGGAGAATAAGAGATTCGACTCGCCGCGTAACGGCCTCTTTTGACGTAACTCTTTCTCATTGATATATTTTAATTAAATATCTAAATAATATTGAATAAAGAAGAAAGGAGATAACTCGTTGTATTGTTTGATCGAGCATTCATGTTATCGTATTAAAAAATCGTGGAAAATATTTTAGCGTAGATAATTTCTCGCGTAAAACGTTAGATACGCCATTCCAATCGAAATCACCGTTCCGCAAAGGAAGATTAAAGAAAGAAGAAGATAAGATAACCGCCGGTAAAACGAAGTGATCTTTAATCGCGATTCGATCGAGGTAAAAGACCGAGATCGGATATCGCAGGGTAATTGTCCACCGCTTGATATCGATACGATCCGATTCTCACGCGTGATTAATTCTTATCAACAACGATCGCCTAAATTGCCTCGTTACGAAATTACGCGATCGTGTAGTCAATCGTGGAAATATTTTCTTTTCGCGATCCGTAATCTTCCGCGATTTTACGCGCGCTTAGCGTTTTCTGCACGTCGATCGCTCTATTACTACGAATCAACGAAAGAGAGAGAAACAAAGAAAAATATATTGTGTGTATCGTAAAATATATATATGAAAATATAAAACACACAATAGATTATAAAAAATATAAAAAGATTAGAATAATGTATGTCATAAAAATAGATTAAGTGTAATAATAATATGATTTGAATAGAATTATTTGTGAGATATGCTTTCTTCAATATTTTTTAAAATTTTTTAAGTCGAAGAGACCCGGAAAGATTATTTAGAATACTCAAAGTTTTGCAAATTTTTGCAAATTTCCGTATATTTCTAATGTGAGTATGCACTTTTTTGATAAGCGACAAGAAGGAATCGCTGATCGTTCGTTGGGACGTTAGATAGATGAAAAGGAACGGGGGGGAAACTCTCATCCTTAAATCACATTCGTCCTTTCGAATTTGCGAGCTGACCTCGTCCTCGAAACAATTTATAGCGCACTGTGCTCTGACGACACGCGAACTTTCGGCGAACGGCCGGATTTGCGAAGAGCACTCGAGCGGCCTCCTTTGTATCAATCAGGATTCGCGCGACGCGATCACGAGGAGATGAATGATCCGCTCATTGACCAACATGAATATTTTCGATAACTAATCGAACGTTGGTGGTTTGGAACAAATTATCGAGCTGCACATGCGAATGTTACAGGAAGGAAAGGAAATTAAGGGAAAATTAATTATAGTAAATAATTTTTTCATAATTATATTAATGAACATTACTATATATTTAAATGATATTAATTCTTAATTGGCCAGTTCTTTTTCGAAAAAGATTTAAATAAAAAAATATGTACATAAAGTCTATATTTAATGTTATTAATTTTTATTATTTTTTAAATTTATTTTGTTTTATTTATTTTTTATTTATTTCACACACACATTATTAGTTATTATGTATCTTTCATAACTTTCATTTCATTTCATCACAAAAGTCGCGGCAATTAAGTAGCAACTAATTTTAAATTTAATTTACCCTATATTCCGAGATTAATATTTCAAAATTTAAAAAAAAAGTCAGTTATTCATCTCATATTGATAATTTTCGCATTTCCAATCTACGTTTTCCAGATCACTTTTTTGTTTCGCAAAAAGATCGGATCGTGAACTTCGCGTTTAGTCGCGGTAAACACGTTTTAATTGAACCGTACACGGACACACACGCGCGTGTGGGCCGCCCGGGCCCAGCGTAGTGGAAGGGTAAATAAGGCCGCCGGTTCGCCTAAGGGGGTCTAACTCCGTCCGGAGATGGTGCAACTGTGCCCCGAAGGCCTCTGACAACCTACTCGAGAGCTGGAGCTCGAGAGACTTAGCGTTCACTCTTATTCCGCCCGTACGTCGCCCTTTTGATACTTCACTTTCCGACAGCCCGCGGCACGGATGTGAACGTCTACACGATGCTTTAGAAGTCGCGTAATTTTTACTTTTCCTTTTTTCAAGAGAGGGGGAGAGGGAAGGATAGATAATGAAACCTCAAATCAAAGAGATTAATTGTTTTTGGCCATCAAGTTTTTTTTATTAAGGGTAATAATTGAAAGACAACAGTGGTCTGATTCTCTTTACAATCTTAAGCAATTTTAATAATTTCAAGCAGTTAATAAAATAATAAAAAGTGTTGATAAAATTATGTCTATAATTATAATATTACATATTAATTTGGAGATAACTTATAATTTATAAAATATAAATATAAACCTATAAATATAACTTATAAAAATTAAAGCAAGTTTTGTATCCTACTTTTGATGTCACTTTAATTCACATTTAATTAAATAAAATTCAAATTTAATTTAAATTAACATAAGTTTGCACATACTTTTAAATTCAAACGTTTTCTGTCCGTATAAAAATTCTCACGTTGATCTTGGGTCACGTTTGTTTGCGTATATGCTGATATTTTTTTCAGCATTTCTTAATAAATACTCGTAGAAAATGTTCCTTCTTCGACGCGACACGAGTACGCTGACAATGAGATCTCGAGATGCAGGGCCCGGCAAAAAGCACGAACACCAGACGCGCATGTCGCACTTTTCATTAGCTTGCGAAACCCGCAATTCGCCACGATTAAAATCGTGCAACCTTGCGTCGTCGGCGACACAATCGTCTTTCTCTTCTCCCCTTTGTCATCTCAAATTTAATCAACGAACATTTTGTGTCCATTCTTTTTCTCCTTTTCAAATTTTTCAATTGCTCTTATAAAATAAATCGAATCAATTGAATAATATCAAATTTACATTTCGAAACTTTAAAATTCTCTAAATCTCGAGATAATTGAAATATGATTTTAATTAGAACTTTACTTAAAGTTTTTTTTCTTTTATTTTAATAAACAAGCTTTCTAAGTTTACTATTTTTTATAGAATTTGAAAGAGGAATTATTTATATAGAAAAATTCATTATCTATTAATATTTTATATATGTATTTATAACATAGAATGGCATTGATTATTATCAGTGATAAAAATCTGATTAGATCAATTTTAATCAATTCCCCCAAAAAATCTAAAATCTGTTTTACAATGCAATGATTAATTTGAGGAGGTTGTTTGAATTCAATCCGGAACCTGGGCGTTGTAAAAAAACGAGTTCAGAGACAAAGAAGAGCAACTCGCGAGTCGAGCTTGCGT